GGATGATTGGGGCAGTGAAGGGTAAATAGTGCCCAGGTTTCTGTGGATTTTATACACAAAATGGTCGCTTCGGTTGAGGTGGGATGCACGGCGTACCCTACATCATCGCTTGTGCTTTTTTCAATCTTCCAAAAAAGTGGAGTAATATAATATCGTAAACTCAATGGCAGAGCTACGCACGCTACTTTTTGCGTTTGGGAAATAATAAGATAACCGTGCGTCAACAATAGCGTAATACATATGTAATTGGCATTACATGCACAACCAGATTGAATTATTCACGCGTTCCCAAGTCCAATAGTCCAAAATCTTCTACGTACAGTCATTCACTGTAGAAACTGGTTATATTCTGGAATATTAGCGCATGCGATCCTCTATGTGTTCCGGGGAGGTTTGATTCTTAGGTTGGTAACCAGCTTTTAATCGCTCAAGACAAGATTGAGTGGATGTAACGGAATAGCTAGAAAATTGGACATCCGAGGGAGGCTATTCGTACATAAAGCTTCTGTGGAAGTGTAAAAACTGATTTGTAAAGAGGTCCACAAGCCATTGTATGTGCCGAATACTGTTTATAAATAACGCTACGCAACAAGCCTACGCAACAATTCTTTGAAGTTTAGCGTGGCCGGGTGGTCCCAAAACGGTCATAGATTAACCCGGGAAAGATTCATGACTTATATGTGTAAAGCTTTCAACTTCTTGTAAATGGTTATTTCTGCCTCGCCATTTCTGGCTCTCTAAGTAAGCCGACCAACTGTAGTCAAAAATAGCAAGTAGGAAGGCTTTGCAACGTACTGTGCAGGAGAAGAGATAGACGTAGGACAGCACACCAGTAGCGCGAGGGTCTATTTGTGGCCGAAATGCGGCTAAGACCAACTAGACCTTCCAACTTTGGGAACCGCTTATTTTTTTATTGATTTTTATTTGTTGGGAAAGAAGAATCGCTTGTGCTCAGGATGCCCCCAAGGTTGTATAAGTCAATTTGCATTCGCTAGTTTTTTAGAAGGGAAGTAAAATGTGGGGCACAGAAAAGAGATTGAGTGTTAAATGCAGTTCTTATTTTTTTTTCATCAATTTTCAGATTATGAGTGCATATGAACTCGATGTCCTGCCGTTGCTTTGGCGGAATGTGCTCTTCAAAAACGCGCATTTTTGTGAGCATGTCTGCCATAGTTGGTTAAATCGGTCGAAACGGCCGATGGTGCCCTCTGGTAATGGAATGTCCAAGGCAGGTGAGCTCCAAGTTTGAATTTTTCATGGCTAGGCTAGTTGTGATTGAAGCACGTTTTAAGAAAAAGGGTTGTGCCACGAACCTACACAGTAGAAGAGCTGAAGAGGTTTCATAAAGCTTTGTCGAAATAGAGGCATGGAGCTGGTATAATTACCTTATTTTCTGGGGTGCAATGCTTATTTATGCTTTATTTTGCATTTTAGACTTCGAGTTGCCTTTAAAGCACTTGGTATTGAAAACGGATCATACCCCTTGGCAAGGACATGTAAAAGTACGCGTTGAGGAGAAGTGCGTCATACCTACGAGTGCGCCTTATACTCCAGAAAATAGGGTGTTTCGCCCATTAGTAGGAGCCGCATCACCTCTTGAGGGTCAGAAAGTGCTGCTATCATTTTTTTTTCTCCGTGGACGGAACTGGCTAAAAATTTGACTTCCTGGGGTAGTCCGACCTCCTGAACATGAATATCACATCCGCTCGGCACGAAACCTCCTGGCGCCCGCGCCACGGGCGCCGGCGCCAAAATACTCTAAATCACCAAATTCGCTGAAAACTTGTTCCCAGGGGTAGTTTGACCTCCTGAACACGAATATCACATCCGCTTGGTCCGAAACCTCCTAGCGTTAGCGCCAAAGGCGCCGGCGCCAAAATACGCCAAATCATCGGCGCCTGTGGCGCGGGCGCCAGAAAGTTTCGGGCTGAGCGAATGTGATATTCGTATTCAGGAGGTCAAACCCCAGGAGACAACATTTGAGCCAAATCTGCCCACGGAGAAAAAAGTCGGTCAAAAACTGGCTTGATTCTGGAGCAGTAAAAGGTGAATGGTGCCAAGCTTTCATCTCAGCATTACTTGCTCGTTACCAAATAGCTATGGGAGAACCATAATGCCGGCAATGACCGTGAGTTATGCACCAAATACGCACTGAAGACTTCTCATAGTCCTCAGTGGTAGTCCCAGTTTGCGGAATCTGTGATGATCTCGCAGTGATATGCCTAGAAGTGCAGCTTTTCAGAGCGCCTGCAAAAAGATTAAGAAGAACTCTTATACGCACTACATACATCTCATGTAGATTTCATACGCACTTCACAAAATCAGATGCGTCATCCAAATCCGCCTTGGATAAATCCACGCATAAGAAACCTAGTATGTAATAACTTTGAAAGGATGCCTGCAGTATGATCTTCATTAGAGCTCCGAAGAGCAAGCTCCGTTCGAGAACGAGTTCAGAAGTCGAATAAATATAGAAAAGTTTTAGTCGTTCTGTTGTT